GTCACCTCATCGCCAGCCGAGCTGCGGCGAACCTCGAAGCCCACCTTGCTGCCGCGCTCGAAGTCCGACACCTCAGCGATCAGCTCGAACGAAGCACCCGTCGAGTTCAGCACCTGCGACGAACCGTTCACCGACACGCTCGCTACCTGCTCGAGCGCGTTCTCGTTACGGAGCAGCTGCAGGTCACTCAGCGGCTTAACGCCGAGCGTCTTAATGGTCTTGCTCTGCTTGGTCGTGCCGTCACCACACGACACGTCCTTCGAGTCGGACACGATCCAGTCACCCTTACCGACCAGGTGCTCGTCGACGTCATAGATATCACGCACAATGGTGATACCTACCTCGCGGGGCACCGACAGGATACCGTCCCATCCCTGAGGCTGTCCCGTGGTGAAGTTGTTGTCCTCGGTGATCCAGCCGATCAGGACGTCCTTCCCGTCCTTGTCGGTGTAGATGCTGTTAGCGTACCAGTCACTACGGTCCGACACGCCCACCATCAGAGGCGTGAATAGTCCCGCCTCAGGATCGACCTCCACGCCGCAGCCACCACCAGAAAATGAACCTGTGGCCCACATCGGGTACCGGTTCGGGTCGCCCTCAGCGGCGAACAGCATCACATTGTGGAGCTCACCGTCCTCATCCGTCATCTCACGGTAAATGGTGGTCTCGAAGTTGAAACCCCAGCTTCCACTGTACTTGGAGAACGTCGTGTTCTTCTCCTGGGCGAGTAGGAAGCCCTTGTACTCCCAATTCACATAGTCCTCGGCATGGTACAGGAAAATGCGGGGGCCAACCTCTTTGATGCCACCGGCCACAATCAGGTAGTTGCTGCCATTGGAGGCGTCATAACCAAAATGGGCGTCCAGTGACTTCGAGTGGAATACATTCGGGTCGCGCCAGCCAGTGACGTTGAGACCCTCAGGCGGCAACTCGATCAGAGGCTTACTGCCCTTTTGCCAGGTTTTGCCGTTGTCGTTCGTAGTGGCGTATACGACGTGCTCGCCAAACAAGTAAGGCTTATCCCATGAAATGGGAAGCACATTTACACCTGTGTAAAACACAGTGCGTTTACCGTCAATGGCGTTATCCATCGAGAAGCCCGAGAAGACACCGAGGTAGTCCCACTTGTCCTCAAAAGGACGAAGCGCGTTCGGGTAGTCCTCCCAAGTTATCTGGTCCTTCGACACGGCGTGACCCCGCGTCATGTTGCCCCAGATCGTCGAGTTCGGGTTGAGCTGGTAGAACATGTGATACAAACCAGTGGCCTCGTCATAGTACGGTGCACACGGGTCGTTCATCCATTTCTCACGAGCCAGGAAATGGTACACTGGTCGGAACTGCTCGAACAGCTTAGTTCCAGGCGCAGCTTCCACGACATCGGCGCGGGCTGTTTCCGGGATGAAGACGAGAGCGGTGACAAAGGCACCGAGGGCTAGGACGCTTGGAATCACTTTCACGGTGGTTTGGAAGTAGCTTCGACGTTGCGAGGTATATCGAGAAATGCGCTATTAGATCTTGACTCTCAGGTCACCTATCGGGGCATATTGTGAATTCCGTCCAAATTTGCCGATTTGGGTCTGTTTGAGGAGCGGGAGCATACAAACCCAAGTCATTAGTAGAACCCACCAAGTCTTTTGCCACCTTATTTCGTACTTAAACGGGTCAGTATACGGAATTGTAAACGCTGGGCGATTTGGGGGAGATTCATTCAAAGAACCGCCCATGACAATTTTGAGTAGAACTCACAATACAATTCCATTAATTTGGACGAAAAATTGTTCTCTTAAAAAAAGAGAAATCCCGCTATTACTTAGCTCCAGACGAGCCCGCTCCCCACATTACCGTGCACAACAAAAACTTTGTGGTGAAGGTAATGTTTCTCGTCGCGATTGCGCGCCCGCGGTGGGTGTCTGAGCAGAACACGGTCTGGGATGGCAAAATAGGCACATGGCCTTTTGTGGTGTATGAACTTGCGCAGCGAAAGAGCAAGAGCAGAGCCGCTGGTACGCTTGAGCATAAAACATATACTGTGGATCGTGACATTTACCGTGCTTGCCTGGTCCACTCGGTCATCCCAGAGATCAAGCGACTATGGCCGTCTGGGAAGCGTGTCCACCTTCAACAAGACAATGCAAGGCCGCATGTCTTATTAGACGATGTGGCCGTGATGACAGCCTGTACTGACAAAGGTTGGGACATGGCCCTCACTGTTCAACCCGCTTATTCGCCGGACTGCAATGTGCTAGACCTGGGCTTCTTTGCGTCGCTTCAGACACTGCAGCATCGTAAAAATTCCCGCACGATCGAAGAGTGAACAACGTCGATGATGCTTTCCGTGAGCTTCCTTACGAGAATATAGACCGCGTATTCATGACGCTGCAGTCGGTATTCGAGGCTTCCCTCAAGGTAGACGGGGGTAATAGCTACCGAATTCCGCATAAGAACAAGATGAAGCTACTAAATGGCGCTGTACATGGCTTGCTCCCTCAAAAGCTTGACTGTGATTCCGTAGTTTACGAGAATGTGAAGGGTAGACTAAGTTCGGTTGTTTGTAGCAACCCAACAGCAAATCGCACTTAATACCAAGGTGGCCTTATATTTCTGAACATGCTTAACTATGGGCCCGGCCTTATATTTCTGGACAGAGGAAGTATGAGCTTTCGGATCAAAGGCTCCGGGTCGTAGGCTGTTGTGTACAGGCATGCCGAAAATACGATAGAGATCTATTGATGGCCGAGGAGCACGATAAATATTTTAGTGTGGTTGAGCAAGTAAGAAAACAAATAAGACAAGACTAAGTGACGATCCAGTAAATTACTGCAATCGAATTACCACAATGCAGGCACTGCTCCACCGTCGCTACATCCATCTAGAGCTGTTGCCTGGGCGAGAAAGTCGGCCTTGGGGCGGGGGTAGCGAGGGGGTTGTCGTCCATGGCGCTGTGGATGGCGGTGAGCGTGCTTGGAAGGGAGTTGGTTTGAAAGTAAGAAAGAGTTGTGGCCTCGATCCGTTGGCAGAGCGAGACATTGAACGGTTGGACCAGGAGGAGCAGAAATAAATTTCCGAATGTTGAGTCTTGACCACATAAATTCCAGAAAAAATCTAGAGGTGCCTAAAATAAAGTACTATATCTGAAAATAGTGTTATATTTTCCAGCATTATTATTTTCGGGATGCCTGGTTGTGTACCGGTACTTTATGAACCTGCTGTGGTGCCACAACGTTCAGTGGTTTTACTTGAAGTTGGGCGACCATGGAGTTAACCGCTAGCTTAACGATAGTGCGGTACGATTTCCTTGACGAGGGTCTGCTCCAAAATCGAGTCTGTATCAGCCAGACACCAGGGCCCCTGGTCCAGGGGAACCACGACCACCGCTTTGTTCATGCTCTGCACAAATTGCAAGGTGTCGAACTTGATTTCTGCAGGTTGCTGACTCAGCAAAGCAATGGGTTTAGAAAAATGTGCTACCGTAAGCCTGTCCACGCGCTATTAGTTAATACATGTACCGGTACTAGTATTTCTAACTTAAGTACCACCGCGGAATCATTTGTGAAATCGTCCTGCAACCCTTGATGTAGCCCGATCTGTAGTGTAACCAACAAACACGTTTGTTACATTGTGTGCCTGAGGACTTACGCGAATTCTGACTTTTTTCTCTTCTGATTTAGCTTACGGGCTACAAGCTTGCTTGACGAAGTTTGCAAACTCGCGGTAACCCCGTATTTATTTTAGTGCTATACGTGTACTAATTTTATGAAGAAAGGGTATGGGGTGGGTAGGTTGTACTATATAGTAATACATTAAATGTGGTCTCTAAGGAGGTCTAGGGGTACTCTAGATGCCATTTTATGCACAGGTTGAGCGGACGATGTAACCTAATCCATTACGTTCGTCCACTAGCGTACGCTGATAGAAAGATCGCGGAATGTCACTAAATCCTAATGTGAATTATCGGACATTGTCCCCAATCGACACTTTAAAACAATGCTTCACCAGAGCACGTGTAGTTTCTAAATCCAGTAGTTCGTAGAGTTCCGAAACATAAACCGCATCCCATACATTGTATGATCAAGTCACTTTAAACGAGGGACCACCAGAGTGATTGTAGTTATTAAAATACAGTAGTGCGCAAAGTTCCTAAACATGATTTGAACCGGTCCCATGTTACCGAACCGACGTAACATCAACAATTATGATCAGGGTAGGTTTTATACACAATGCGGGACTGAGTTCCTAAGTTCCCAAAAGAAAAAAACTCAGCACTCTCTCTCTCTTCTTTCTCTTCTATACCCTACCCCCATCTATCATATATATATATATATGAACTCGGAACCCGAGCACCAGCAGAAGATGTCAATGTAACCACAGCCCTTCTAGTTATTAAAATTTGGTTCCGAAAATTTTGGAACCAGAGTTCCCACAATTCCTTAAATAATTGCAATTCACTATAGAATTGAAGCACCACAACAGCTCTAGCAAGTACGACGTCGTTTTGGAACCGGTTAGGAACGCGGTTTTGGAACCTAGGAACTCAACATTATTTTTATTTCTGTTAAATATGTTCATGAATTTATAAAAGCTATAAAATTTGGAATCCAATTTGAGAAATCAAATGATTGGCCGGGTCTACAGAATCATTCATCTTGAAAGTGACCTATGCTATATTGGCCAACAAATTATCATGGCGTTGGCAAGGACATAAAAATAACTTTCGACGCTGGGTTGAAGGCAAGCATACACATATGTCCATCTTTCCATACTTTCGAACTTATGGAATTGATAAATTCAAGATCACTCTTGTAAAAGAGTATGAGGTTGTCGAACAACAGCATCTTCAAGCATAGGAACAGCTCTGGATTGCAAAATTCAGAAAATCAACAGTGAATAAGAATAATTCAATTACGATAGATCATCTGCGTAAGAAGGATTATCGAGAAAATAATAAAGACAACATTAGAGTCTACAACAAGCAATATTATAAAGCCAATCAGCAACGATGGGAATTGACTTCTAAGGAGCAGCTGGCAATTGCGAGTGTAGCGGTAAATATTCTGCTGCAAATCGACATGTTCACGTTCGATCGCTTAAACACAAGCGGTGGCTAGAAGAACAGAGTGCTTAGACAGTGATATTTTTTGGCAGGGACACAAAAAATAGAGACTTGTAGATATAGAATAACAACATAGGTAGATAGCCATGGAAGCCGATACACACTGAGCGTCAGTGCTGTGAATAAGGTGAATCCCTTTCAAATCAGGAAGCAATATCAGAAGCAATATTATGAACCTGAAGAATATGACCGGCTACACTGCCGCAAGCGGATTTCCAACGATGCCAGTAACTGCATATGGCCCTCAACTTGTAATTGATAATTCTGGATTTGGATCTATCGTTGGACTATCTAATGCTACATATCCGGCTGCTCAGACTAAAGCATTTACGCTATCAATAGCACTGTCGTTCCACAAGTAGATCCTGTTAGCGCTGTTGTTGTTGGATTGAATTGCTTCTGCAACCCGATCGCGAGCAACTCTCAAGCGTTACATACATTCACAAGCGCTGGAGTTGAGTACGGAGGTTTGATAAATACCACACAGGGACAGGGTATCGCATATACTCCATGCCAGGGCCAAAATAATGAAACTATCGTTTCCTTCTACGATCAATTTTATCAACCATTGCAGATAATCGATGGTAACGTATGCACTAGATTGTTATTCCGGCAAAAAAAAAAAATCAGACTCACCAATCTAATTTGATTGAGAAGCTTTCCAGTCAATATGTCTATTTCTTGTAAATGGATGCTGATGGAGCCCAATGCAACTTCAAATTGCGAAAAATCAATCGGCTGACTGAATCGATATCTGAATTGATTCGTCGACACCTGTACAGTAACATTGATGTACTTATAACTGCATTCACGCTCATCAAGAAGGTCAATATTGGTTACTGTGGGAGTCTGCCCATGGAATAGCGTCTCCAAGAAGACTCCGACGGCCCTGCATACACCAGTAGACGTAGTTTGAAGTGAATCTCCTCACTGGAAACTACAGCTGTGCCCACGAGCTTTACCGTCTTGCTGGAAACTACACCCGACGGCATCTACATGCTCGGAGCTATGGCCGGCGTCATGGGCTACCCACCTTGGCCTGAGCTTTGCCCGGCGTCG